TCGCCGGACTAACAACCATGAATTCTCTGATCTTTCACTTGGAGATCACCTCCAGCACGGAGCAGCCAGACATCAGTTTCCACCGGTTCCCGTTTCTTCTCTGACTCTTCAACTCCGTTATCGCGAGTGCCACCCTTCGAATCCGTCGAATTTGATTCGTTGAACGATTGGTTTTCACAGTCGGATTCTTCGCCGGTAACAGGTTCGCCATCGACGTTTTCTGACTCATCATCTCTCTCCGTTTGTCTCTTTTTATCTCTGAATTTCTTCGACTGGTTTTCCAGCTCATCACAGTCGGATTCGTTGAACGACTGGTTTTCACGATCGAAACATCCTATCGTTCAACCTCACGTCTAATCTCAACGACTCTAAGTTTTCTCAACTCTTCGAGCCACAGAATTTCTTATCATTCGTTTCGGATTCGTCTTCTTTTTCGTTGCTTTTGTCATCTTTCAACGTGAATCGACCTTCTGTTTACAGTTCTGAGCGGTTAGTAGATGAAGGGTAGAGCTTCAATTTTGTTTTTCCATGGCGAACGGAGTCCCATTTATGGGTCCCGTGCCGGTTAACAGCGCATTCTAGCAATAGCTCCTCCCAAGTACCCCATGTTTCCATCTCTGTAACCCATTATTCGCCATGGTTTCTCATCTCTTCCTTCAACCACTCTGCAAAGTTGCCATTTTTTCTCCCTTTTTTTTCAAAACTAGGGTTTCTCTTTTTTGTTTTCGTCTTCTTTCTTCCCTTTTATTTCTCTTGGATTTTTGTTGTGTTTCTCTTTTCTTTTTTCAGACAGCAGAAGAGTTCACCTTCAGTCCAGGTTATTGCACGACAGCTCGCAGAGGGAGGATGAGCTTCTGAAGCAAAGGCTCTGGGACTTAAAATGAGCTTCTGAAGCAGAGGTAGGATGTTGCAGGACAGCTCGATGAAGCAGTTAAGGCAAGGGACTCGTCAAGATCGGAGGTCGAGGTTGCTGCTCATATGCTTGTCGAGGTCGCACGTCTCAAGCATACACACGTTTGTAGGATGCGTGGCACGCTTTTCCGCTGCGCGAACAATGCCTGAAATGAAGCCGAACTCTCCAAAGAAATAACCCGAGAGGAGGAATTGGAAGTTTCCAATAGGCAGGTTTTGACATCAGCCCCACAGGCGTTTCATATGCACATTTCAGCGTGCACTGAGAATATCTCTCGTACTTCCATCGGCACCGGTACACGGTTGGGATGTACCATGGGGCACTGATGTTTATACAGTGAAGGCCATTCTCGTGACATATAACCTACCACTTAGTACTTACCAACCCTCTTCACAAGGAACGAGATCTGTTCCATACACTTGGGGCGTTTCATATGTACGGAACGGAATATGCTTGTCACACTTGGGCGCCTCATATGCACGGAACGGGATATGCTTCTTACACTTGGCGTCTCACATTGACATTCACCGTGCATTAAGAACATCTCCCCTTGAAAAATAGCTTATAAGTACGGGAGATGTTCTCAATGCATGGTAAGATATGCATACGAGGCATTCTATGTGAGTGGTAGATTCGGTCTCCATCCATTGGGAATGTTATGGTCCTCCACGTAGGATCGCGTCACGGGTCGTTCCACGACAGGAACCCCTGATCTTCCCATGCCTTTGGTTTTACGCACAGACCTTATTTTGCCTATCTAGTGGGTGATTTGTCCAAGAGACCACCCGAACTCTCCCTTGGGGTGATTTGTCCAAGAGACCACCCAAACTCTCCT